AGGGAGATGAGAAAGAGTAACATTGATAGGCTGCCTCTTGCACGGCCCCTAGTGGTGACTGAGCCTACAACCCAGGCATGTACACTAGGTGCATGAAATGATGCTCAACCAACTGAGCCACACCAGCAATGCAAAAACTTTTTAGTTTGATGTAGTCCCATTTAGTTTGTTTCATTTTTCCCTTGCCCAAAGACTGTAGTAATTTGTTTAATACAGCAAAATTAATCATAGCTTTCTTTAATAATGTACATTAGATTTTATTTTATGTTTATTATAGTAAATCTGACTGAATTTAATAAGTTCTACCTTCCTTGTCTGTCTTACAACTTAAAAATACATTGAGTAAACTTTTCTTCTCTTCACAGACATGATAATTAAAAAGCTTTACTAATTCTTTTGACAGGTTGAAATATTTGCTTTTTTGTTTTTCAGTATTCAAATATTACTTTTTTCAGCCTTGTTTCTTGAGACCACAATTTGAAAGCATCTATAAACACACTGTTTTTATAATACCAGAAAGGTGGCTACTATTTTGTGTCATTATTTTTTAAACACTTTCAAGAATCAGCTTACTAATTAATTAAAGATAAAACTAAAACAGTTAATGCTTAAATAATCCTGACTTTAGTTCTGTTTAGTATGAAGTCTGTCCTGTTAGGTTACCATTAAACTTTTTTTAATAGAAAAGACTTTTTCAGGTCAAAAGTTTATTTACTTATTTACTTTTTTCAAAGAGCCTTTATTTATCTAGCGCAAAGTATACACTGTCACAGTCTTCTCTGTTACCTTTTACTAAAATAGTTCAATGTTTTTACCACACTATCAAAAAGTTCTATTTCTTTTCTCTCCCCTAAGGTCAAAAGTTTAAAGTTAAATTATCTTGAACAGCAACAGACTAGTTCTTATGTAATGTAAACATAAATATATAGGAGATAAATATACATTGTACCTTCACAGGGACCTGTTTTGCTATCTTAGACCTTTAATACATGAAAGGAAAAATTAGACAGGAAAAAAAATTTGATAATCATGAGTGATGTGGAATTTCCACATAGTATTTGAAAATGGGGGGAAAAGTTACAGACTTCCATTCATTTTGTTAATACAATATATTTATATAACTTTGCACCTCTTATTGTTTGCTAGTAAAAATAATATTTACCATATTTTTAATGTCCCTTAAAAAACAAATATTTAGTCGCAGAGTTACTCCACAAAGTTGTAAATTAGTTCAGTAAATTTTTCATTTAAAAAGGTTATGTAGCGCTAGCTCCATAGAAAATATAAAAAATATATTTTAAAAAAGGTTATGTAAAAATAGATACAGAGGCAGAGCAGCCTCGAGCAGACTGACAAACTACAGCAGGAAGGCCAGGGAGGGTTGTGGGGCAGGAGGGGAGGGTAAGACACTGGCAGGGAGGGGAGGCTAGGGGAAGGGCAAGGGGAGAAAAAGAAAGGAGACATATATAATACTCGTTGTAATACTTTAAGCAATAAAACAATTTAAAAAATAATAAAAAAATAAAATGGTAAAAATAAATAAATAAATAAATAAATAAAAATTTTAAAAGGTTATGTAATTGCCAGCTTCTGACCAATAGCTATTTCCATTCTGTTCATACATTAACCCTAGACCAGGGGTGGGCAAACTTTTTGACTCGAGGGCCACACTGGGTTCTTAAACTGGACCGGAGGGCCGGAACAAAAGCATGGATGGAGTATTTGTGTGAACTAATATAAATTCAAAGTAAACATCATTACATAAAAGGGTACGGTCTTTTTTTTCAATAGTTTTATTCATTTCAAATGGGCCGGATCCGGCCTGCGGGCCGTAGTTTGCCCACGGCTGTTCTAGACAGTGTGTTTGTATATATGTGTATTCACAATTTCTTTAAACTCTCAGACTTTGCTGAAGATGTTATTTGCCATTTAAATACTTAATAAGGATAGGATATTTAATAAGGATAGGATACTTACTTGTTAGTATTAGTGAGTGATACAATCTAAGAAAAAACTAAAAAGCTAAATGATAATGCAGTAATAAGCAACCAAAAAACAAAACAAAAACCTCAATGCCTTGCCCTGGCTGGTTTGGCTCAGTGGATCGAGCATCGGCCTGAGGACTGAAGATTCCTGGGTTCGATTCCAGCCAAGAGCACATGCCCAGGTTGCAGGCTCGGTTCCCAGTGGGGGGTGTACAGGAGGCAGCCAATAGGTGATTCTTTTTCATCATTGATGTTTCTATCTCCCTCTCCCTTCCTCTCTGAAATCAATAAAAAATATTTTTTAAAAAACCCTCAGTGCCTTAAAACAACAAAGTTTTACTCCTCCCTCACTTTATGGTATTGGCTGTGTTATGGAATCACTTCCACTCTGGGATCCAGGCTGAAGAAACTGCCCTTCTCTGGGATATTGCCATTTTATAGTGGAGGAAAAAGAGATGGTCCAACCATGTGAGGCTCTTCAAACTTTTGTTTAGAACTGGCATATTACTTCAATTCACATTTCATTATTCACACAGTTATGTGGCCATTCTGATGTGAGTGAAGTGAGAATTACAGCCTTGCAACTAAGGAAAGAGGAGCAGTGAATGTTTTCATAACAGTTTACCTCATTACATTCTTGTAAAGATAAAATGAACTGTCTACAATAATAAAAGCGTGATATGCTAATTAGACTGAACAGCCAAACGACCTTCCAGATGTCCTTACAAACGAAGCCATGGCAGCAGGGGCCAAGACAGAGGTGGTTAGGACGGTTAGGCAGGCAGGTGAGTGGTTAGGAGTGATCAGGCAGGCAAGCAGTTAGGAGCCAGCAGTCCTGGATTGCGAGAGGGTGCAGGCCAGGCTGAGAAACACACACACACACCTTGCACACGAATTTTGTGCACCAGGCCTCTAGTCTATAATAATAAAAGTATCATATGCTAATTAAACCGGACGTCCTTCCAGACAAAGCCAGGGGCTGCAAGGGCTAAGGCAGCCACTGTGGCAGGGACCAAGCCCTTTGCACAAATTTTGTGCATTGAGCCTCTAGTTAAATAAAAGTATCTAAGAAGAAGAAACTTAAACTTTTCCTAAAGTATAGTGGAATATCTCATTAATTTAGAAGTTGATGACTTATACAAGGCATATATAAGCTTACTTTGGCAGTATAAATGTTGTAAGGGTTTACTAAAACAACAAATAGTGTAATTTCATTAACCAATGTAACCCCAATAAATTTAATTTTTTAGAAAATAGTGTATCTATGTCAAAGTGCTTAATTTTATGGGGAACAGATTTTGAGCACTTAACAGATATTTCCTTACATACACCAGTATCCGAGAAAGTATTCTGGTAGAAGACTAGTCCTTAGGTGTCAATAAGGAGGAATGTTTCTGGAGTTATACTATATGCCGCTTCTTGGATATTTAGTGTATATCAGAATATGAAATTCTTGAAGAAATCCTTTTGTTCATTTAGTTTTGCTTAGCCCAGTATTTATTTCCCTGATTTATTTGACTTTGGAACCTATTTGCTGAGCAATACCTAATAAATTTCCTTAAGGAAATCCTGGCAGGAGGAAGTTGGTAAGCTGATTATAATTTATTCATTAGATCTAGCTCTTCAGTGCTTGTCAACCTCTTTGTTAATTTTAGTAGTGGTTTGTTAGTTTTTGTAATAGAAATCAAGTGCATTTTCTTTCTTTTTTTTCCTTTTTTTAAAAATATATTTTATTGATTTTTTACAGAGAGGAGGGGAGAGAGAGAGAGAGAGCCAGAAACATCGATGAGAGAGAAACATGGATCAGCTGCCTCCTGCACACTCCCACTGGGGATGTGCCCGCAACCAAGGTACATGCCCTTGACCGGAATGGAACCTGGGACCCTTCAGTCCGCAGGCTGACGCTCTATCCACTGAGCCAAACCGGTTTCGGCTGCATTTTCTTTTTTAATCTCAGAGTATCCCACCCAGTTCAGGGAAATTCCATGTAGAATTATTCTGAATTGGATGCAGTCTGTGTTCAGGTACTCTGTTGGTATGTATTCTCTGACTCCTGGATCTAGATCCTTAAAGGAGCCCCAGTACCACCCAGAGACACTCATTACCTCAGAAGTCTTATAATGGCATAACATAGCTGACATTTTTAAGATTAGAATTGTGGGATAAGCATATTTTTAGGTTGAAGTTTTTTAAAAAATATTAAGACAAAAACATACTCAAGTTCATGTTTTAAAACTTTTTTATTCCTGTAATGAGAAAACAAAGATGACAAATTAAAACCTCATCTTAGACCAGTGGTTCCCAGCGTGGGGCATATGCCCCACAGGGGGGCAATTTGATTTTTAAGGGGGGCAATTTGAGAATGAGTTATTAACAATGAATTTTTGCATTTGTTATGGTTCTAGGGGCCTAAAATACAGTATATAAATATATATTTTGACATAGTTATGCATTTCAGTTCTCTATTATGTTTTGAAACTTTATTTGCTATTTTTCATATCACTTCATATTATTATTATTTTTAAAAACAATTTCTTAGTGTTTCTTCCTCAGTACTTCAACTATTCTTTAGTTCTTTTGTTTTTCTCTTTCATGAATGCCATGTTCTTTGGAAGCTTGTTTAGACCAAATTAATGACCTTTTAGGCTTCCTCCATGTGAATAGGAGTTCACTTTTTGAATAATAGGAATTATATGTCACAAGGGAGGGCGGGGGCATCAAGATTTTAAAGATGCTTAGGTGGGGCATGGCCAAAAATGGTTGGGAACCACTGTCTTAGACATTAACCCATTCTTATACAATCTTGCAAGAGTCATTAAAAATTAATATGGCCTTTTCTATTTTTTTTTTTTTTGTTGTTGTTGTTCTCTGTTAGGGTAAAAGTAAAGTTTAAAATAAAGGAAGTCAATTTAGAGGTTAACAAAGACAACTTCTAGAACTAGAAAATTGAGGGTTGATTTTAGATAAGAAATGTGTTGGTGGTTCTTTTTATGGAATGCTTATGTATACCCACAGCTCAGCCAGCAGGAGTGCCAGAAATTTTAAAGAAAAGTTTGCATAGCTGTTCAGTGAAAGGAGAGGAAGAAGTATTTTTAATTGGCAAGAACTTTCTGAAAGGAACTAAAGTGATTTTCCAAGAAAATGTTTCTGGTAAGTAGACATAATACTACTGATATAGAGATTGTTGCATGTTTCAGTTTGTTATAAAGCTATAGTTATAGCTACAAAGAAAAAAAAATCAAAATTTTATTAAATCACTGTTTTTGTTTCAATCAGATGAAAACTCTTGGAAGTCAGAAGCTGAAATCGACATGGAATTATTTCATCAGGTATAATTTTAAGACTAAAAATTTTTATTTTATTGATTTCAAAGAGGATGGAGGGGAGAGAGAGATAGAAGCTTTAACAGTGAGAGAGAATCATCCATTGGCTGCCTCCTGCATATTCCATCCCCCTCCCCCGCTCCGGGGAGCCTGCAGCCAGGAATCTTGGTTCAGAGGTCCTTGCTCAACCACTGAGCCACGCCCCCTGGACTAATTTAAGACTTTTTATAGTTTGATTGTTTACTCTCTGAGAAATTCGGTTTTGTTCCAAAATTTCCTGAATCAAAAGGTTAATTTTTTTCTTTATATGGGATTGATAGAAATCATTTAAAGTTTCTAGAGTTTCTTTAACTGAAATACAACTATGCCACTGATGCTAGAAGTGACAATTCTCTATTTTAAAAAAGTTTAAAAGCATTAGCAAATTGCATTGCTAATAAATGAAACATTTCTTTCTTAATATTTATTTGTTCTGGGGATTTGGATTATCTTAACCTACTATTAGTTAAATCAAAGAAAAATTTTTTTTATTAAGTATCTATGTTCCAAGTGTTTTTATGTTTGTTAGTTACCTTTTTGCATTCAGAAGAACAATTTGTTACACCTGTATTAAAGAGTGTGTATTTGTAGGCACTCACTATGTCTTTTTAGATAAGAAAAAAGACCTTGAAAACAAGGAGAGAAAAATAACTTAATTAGTATGTAGAGCAAATAGGAGCAAACTCAAGTATTGAGACAACAGAAGAGAACAAATTTATATGCAAATCAGATAGAAGACTAGAAAAATGGTAGTATGTTTAGGTATAGATCATAGAGAACAGAGAAGCAGGAACATAGTAATGTGTAAAATACTCAAAGCCTAAAATATAGCATCAAATGCTGATAAAAATAGAAAAGAGCACATGAAAGCTAGCAGAGAGCTAGAATAGGCAAAAAATTGAAACTTTATATCCAGTTTATCAAAAAATATTAACACGAAAAAGTTTGTAATTCTTTCGTGTTTTAAGAAAAATCTTAGACACAAATTAAATGCTCTGAAATTAAAGCCTTAACCTTGGCGTTGTCACATGTTCTTTTCAACTTAGTCAACCAACTATAGTCTAAGTAAAAAATGTCATCAAATTCACTTCACCTTCAGCTGTCATCATTTGCCTCCTGCATATCTTGTCCCCTGTACAAAAGCATAATCACCATCCCTTGATGTTCCTTCCCATTACTATATTGTACCAACGAAGAAGAGAATACGTCCAATATTGTTCACAGTATCTTCCAAGAAGATGTGGCAACCTTGAGTAACTGCTGGTGAAGCATTTATGAACTTTCCTTTTCTTATAAGGATGTTTCTGCCACTATTCTGACAAAAAAATAACTTTGATTTCCAGGGTTAGGGTAGACTGAACCCTACTTGGTTAAATGAGGGTAAATTTGACTTAATTTGGGTAAACTGAAGCCTATTTGTTGCACTGTATGTACGCACCCGCACGTGGTATTTCAATTGCACTGTATGTACGCACCTGCATGTGGTACGCACCCACACGTGGTATCCTCTCTGTCAAAAAAAAAAAATCAATAAAATATTTTAACATCAATCAATATATTTTATTGATTTTTTACAGAGAGGAAGGGAGAGAGATAGAGAGTTAGAAACATCGATGATGAGAGAAACATCGATCAGCTGCCTCCTGCACACTCCCTACTGGGTATGTGCCCGCAACCCAGGTACATGCCCTTGACCGGAATCGAACCTGGGACCTTTCAGTCCGCAAGCTGACGCTCTATCCACTGAGCCAAACCGGTTTCGGCAATAAAATATATTTTTTTTAAAAAGATTAATATCCTGATGTCTATGAACCTGAGCTTTAAAATAATTTTTCTAGTCAGACTTTTGACCTTTATTGCTTATAAGAAATATACTTAATTATAATTTTCATTTCAATTTTTTTATTTAAATATTGCTTCTTTTCTGACTCTTATAATTTTCTTTCAATTAGAATCATCTTATTGTAAAGGTTCCCCCATATCATGACCAACATATAACTTTGCCAGTATCAGTGGGAATATATGTAGTGACCAATGCTGGAAGATCTCATGATGTTCAACCATTTACTTACACTCCAGACCCAGGTATGTCAAAATAAAAAAGTCTGAACTAAAATGAATGATTAATTTCTGGTACTTTGGAAGAATATGAAGACCAGCCAACCAAAACGAAAAAGTGGTAGCCTGGCTGGTGTGGCTCAGTGGTTGAGTGTCCACCTATGAACTAGGAGTCACAGTTGGATTCCCGGTTAGGGGCTGGATCCCCAGTAGGAAGCGTGTAGGAGACAATCAATCAATGATTCTCTCTCATCATTGATGTTTCTGTCTCTCTCTCCTTCTTCCTTTCTCTCTGAAATTAAAAATAATTTTTTTAAAAAAGAGCATGGCTTTTGAAAAAGAAAGAAAAGAAAAGCTAGGAATGCTCTGAAAAGTTATCATACAGCTTACTCTTTAGTAAGAATTAACATTCATTGAGTTTCTCTAGTGTGCAGAAAAATAAAAGTAACAACTTTGGGAAACTGCTAATAATTTAGCCTAGATGGTTTACAGGATTGCCTTTTGGGAGAGAGAAGAGATATGCTTGTCATGATAAGTAATAAGAATCACAAATAAGAGTTATATGCCTATAACATTTTCTAATCTGTATAATAAAAAATATCAAAGACTGCTGATGAATAAATATTTTAAACATAATTTTAAGCATTTAGGCAAAATAGATGCTTTAGAAACCAGAGCAGTTAAGAGCAATTGAAATGTTAAAAATTTAGAAGATCTGTCCTGGCTGGGTAGCTCAGTTGGGGTTAGAGCATTAATCTTTTTTTTTTTCTTAATAGCAGCAGCTGGTGCTTTGAATGTAAATGTGAAGAAGGAAATATCTAGTCCAGCAAGACCTTGCTCTTTTGAAGAGGCCATGAAAGGTACTAAGTTGATTCTCATATATTTTCTCTAATAAACTTTTTTTTTTTATTGATTTTTTACAGAGAGGAAGGGAGAGAGATAGAGAGTCAGAAACATCGATGAGAGAGAACCATCAATGAGTCCCTCCTGCACATCCCCCACCGGGGATGTGCCCGCAACCCAGGTACATGCCCTTGACCGGAATCGAACCTGGGACCTTTCAGTCCGCAGGCTGACACTCTATCACTGAGCCAAACCGGTTTTGGCATTCTCTAATAAACTTTACTATTTTATTTTCTCTTAGGTACTTGGAACACTTAGCAGGGTCTCATCTATACTGTAAAATAAATATTTGTTTTTTACTGAATGCAGAGATTTGTTTCCCAACTTGATATTGCCCTTCATTCACCATATAAACTTTTTCTTTAACATATTAGAGTGGAGTTTTTTGTTTTTTTCTGTTTTCCATTCCCCAATATTAAAAATCTTAAAAATATATGTAAAGTACAATAATGTATGTAAAAAAAATTTCTACTAATAAGATTAGTACTTGACATTGAGACTGAAGAGACCAAAATATGAACTATCAACATTTGAAAAAGTTGCTTTAGGCTCTTTCTTCTGATATTTTTATTTACTCCTTTGCCAGTCCCAAGAGATAACAAAGATATATCTTCAGGATGTTATATGATAGATTCTTTTCTCAGATTTCTAATACAACTATGATACTTAGTGATACTTTTGTGCCATTATAAATGAAGATGTCAATTACATAATGGCCATTGGTTTATTCCTATAATCCTAGCTTTTATTTATAACTTTCTGCCATGAAATTCATGAGTTAAATAAAATTAAATTATAAAATTAAAAATATTTACATTTAAAAGGGAATAATATGCTTAATAAATTTTATCAAATTCGGTAGCTTTGTTTTCTATTGTCAGTAGTAAAATTTAGCTTTCATGTATATAATGTGTTGAGTATAGCTTGCCATTATAATTTCTGATCACAAACACTTTCCTAGAGTAGATTAGTGAGAAATTTTGCACTGATGAGTAAACTGCCGAGATTATCTGATTCAAATACAAGAAAATTTATAAATCTGTGCTGTATATAATCTTAGCTAATGCACATTGGACATACATTAAGTGCTGAGCAATATGCCACACTCTTTATTGGCATTATCTCATTTAATCTTCCAAACTCTATGATGTAGGTAATTTATTATTCTCATTTAATAGATGAGGAAAACAAGGTTTCAGGAAGGTTAAATAATTTACCCAAGGTCGCTTAGCTAGGATTAAAAAAGATAGGTTAAACTTCAGTATAAAAGTAATACCTCTAAGCAAAAATAATTCAAACCATGTTATTAGATAAATAATGCCATAATTAATTAATCATTAAAAAAAGTCTTGCCCTAGCTGGTTTGGCTCAGTGCATAGAGTGTTGGCCTGCAGACTGAAGGGTCCTGGGTTCAGTTCCAGTCAAGGGGCACATGCCTGGATTGTGGGCTGGATCACCAGTAGGGGGCATGTAGGAGGCAGCCGATCAATGATTCTCTCTCATCCATTGATGTTTCTATCTCTCTCGCCCTCTCTCTTCTTTGAAGTCAATAAAAATATATTAAAAAAAAAGTCTTGAACATTTGTGGTCTATCCTTTGCCAACTTTGTGCTCTTCTACAAAAATTCCTTGATGCTTCCTTTCATGGAATATCAGGCAGAGAGAACAGTAACCTAATCCAATGTGAAATTTATCGTACAAGATTATGAATTGAAGGTAGTTAATTGATCCAAATCTTACAAGCCTAAAAAAGGATGCAAACATACATGCACGTATTACTCTTTTTCAAAATTCAGACCTCCTTATTTTGACAATTTTATCAACTTAAATCATGATAAAAATAATTTTATGAAGATATAAAATTGAATACTCAGCTAACTTTGTTTAAAATTTTCATTTGTTTTTATAAATAAGGTATCATTAATTAGGAAGTACTGATCATTTTAAAAGACAATAGCTTTTAAAACCAGGAATTTTCATTGACAAATGGCTTATTTTTATTCCATGAAATCACAGCTTTAGTATAATGCCAAGGTACCATTTCGGAGATTTAATTAAGTATACTTTAATGATGAAAACTGAGCAACATAAATGACTTTTAAATTTGTGTTATGGCATTAATCCTCCAAGAAACAGTCTGACAAATAACCATTAATTATAATAAGATTTAAAACTTGATGCCCAATATGATGTTATGGTCATATATTGAAAGCTTTTGCTCTGAAGTAAGTTTCTAATTCCTTGGAGAGAGTTTGGAAGAGTGGGGAGTAAGGATAACAACTAGTGCCAAAGCATTTGATTCATTTTTCGTTTTACCCACTGTGTATATATCCTTAACACAAAGTAATGCGTATTAAATAAGATAAAGTATACATTGTAAACTATTATTAACAGTTTTTTGGGGAATATTTCCACAAAGTTTTCTATATCTATATAGATGTGAGTGTAAATGTTAGCTAAATTGCTCAAAGACTCTGTGATGGAGGTTTAAGACCCAGGGATAAAGTGTTGATGTGCATTCTCTCAGTTTCAGCTTTGTAAGGAGTGGTTAATTAGATTAGTGTGAAAAATAGTTGAGAGCATAAACTTTTCTCTACTGGTTGGCAGGGAAAGGTTTAGGAGCTTTGAGGAGCCATAGAGATAATCTAGTTCAATCGAATTTTACAGGTGATAAACCAAGACCTAAAGAAGTTGTGATTTACTCAGGTCATATAGCTAGTAACTGACAGAGATTACAACTTAGGTTGCCCTCAAAATTCTATATTTTTTCACTCTATTATTCCCTACCCTATAAATCTTGTTGTTGTTATTGTTAAACCTTACCTGAGTATATTTTTCCATTGATTTTTAGAGAGAGTGGAAGGGATGGGGAGAGACAGAGAAACATCTGTGTGAGAGACACATCCATTGATTGTCTCCCACACATGCCCTCACCGGGGCTAGGGATCAAGTCTGCAACCGAGGTTCATGGTCTTGACCAGAATCGAACCCTTCAGTCCACAGGCTGACACACTATCTACTGAGCCAAACCGGCTAGGGCACTCCCCTTAAATCTTTATTTTAACCATACATATTTGTACTTGACCTTATCATTTTATGCTGCTTGCTGATAACAAACTTTTACTAAGGATTGTTCTAAGTTTCAAAAGTTGTTATTATTTGATATCAATAGAAGAGAGCACTTTAAAAGTTGTTTGGCATAATGTGTCAATACCAATATTCCTTATAAATTCAAATTGCTATTGGGATGGATAAATATGTCTATCTTATTTACCTTCTGCATTTTTTGAATTGGCTTAAAAGTTTTCCCCCAACCCCTAGGTCGTTTGTATATTACATGTTTGTATTTTTTTTTTCTCTCTCTCTCACTAAAATGTAATTTTCACTAGTAGGGCTTTTATCCATCTTATTCATCATCACTGATCCCCAAAACCTTGAACAGTACCTAGAACTTTGTAAAGGGCTCAATAAATACCTAGTGAAAAAGAAGGAAGAAAAGAGCGTGACATCTCTCAAGCCACTTAATATTATTTACAGGTCCATTAAGATACAGTTGTGGGTTCTGGGACAAGAAAATACGTACTTACTTTTCCCTTTTCCTCCCTCCTAAATCTACTAAATACCTTAGAAATAATTGAAAAATCATAAAAGGACTTTAAAATATAGCGAGAAGAAAGACTGGCTAGGGACCTCATATTTTGAAGAATGACACCAAGTCCTGGGTTCTCCTGTTATCTCCCATTTATCTGGATTGGGCATTAGAAAGGCCTGCTACTCAGAACTGGCAATGAGCATAGGCAAAAAATAAGTCAGTAAATAAGCATGAAAAGCCTGCTCTCTTCGGCCAGAAGACCAGGAAAGGGAAAGCCCAGCAAAGACTTTCGTTGGGATGACTCCTATTTAGTGACAGCAACTGACCCACCCCCTCCACCTATACCTGCAGTAGCAGTACAGAACTTGGGAGGGTCAACCCACCTCATGCTGCATACCTATCAATTAACAGTGGGCCTAGTCTGCCAGGAGGTCAGTCTAACTGCAGTGATGGCAATGGCAGAACCAGGGGGGCAACCCCACCACTACCAGGCAGCAGCACATGCCCCTCCACCCGCATTGGCGGTGCCAGCAGGTCCTGTGTCTCCCCTGTTCTTCCCCTGACAGCAGACAGAGACCCAGACCTAGCAGCTCCTAGCCCTCCACCTAAGAGCAGAGAAAGATCCAGGCCAAGTGTATCCCAACCCTCCACCCAGTGACAGAAGGCTCTATTTGGTGGCAGAAGGTGAACAGACCCAAACCTCGTCCTAGTGACATGAGCTACCCACACCCTGCAGTCTTGACCTTCTACCCAGTGGCAGAAGGCAGCCTACCTACGTGCTTCCCCAGAACCAGCAGAGATAGAACAGGAAGCCCATTAGTACCAGGAGGCTAGAACATATACCAGAAGAAATGCTTTACCTCTTGCAGGTCAAGCATCCCTCATCCCCACCTAGTAACACCAGACAGCCCAGAGAAGCACTTTCCACGCTTGCAGGCAGCACCAACAGGATTCCAGCTGGAATTCATGCAGAGCTAGAACAGAATACTGACCAGAATAGGACTCAGAAAATGAAATTGTCAATGGTCATAGAAAGACTTGTATCTTTTGTGTGGGCATTTTAAAAAGTGTCCTTTTCTTATTTATCTACACCAGTAGACATACCTGCTTGTCAGTGGCCTCCTTTGGAGAAGTAAAAGACTCTTGCTCAACCTATTCCACCTATTCTCACTTTCCAGAGGGGAAATAAAACTAAAATGATAAGGATTTTTCTCTAAATAACTTTTGGGGAAAATTATGTATAGATCTGTTAAGCAGTAACTGTAGGTGGATGCATTTATTTGTCAATGGATATTTATAAGCTATTTCTAATTGAACTATAATATAAACTTGTCTTTAGATATTGGAAATTTTTAGACCAAAAATACTATTAATGACAATATGCAACACACTGCATTGTAAAATTAACCAAACAATGAACTAAATTGACTATGATAAAGGTAAAGAAAGATTAATTCATCCATTTCTTCATTCATTCAACAAATATTCATTGATTACTTACTATACATCATGCAACAAGAACAAAATCTCTGCCTTCATGGAGCTCACATTGTAATAGAATTCAAAAGGAAGAATAGCAGTTGAATGTTATTCAAGGCAACACTAATAGTCTTTCAAATTTTCCTATGAGATGGGCCACAAATACTTTTAAATGCCTGACATTTTCTCTCAGTAAAAATTAGATTTTGAGTTTAATTGTAGAAGTATTGGTAGAATCTAGGTGAAAATAGGTCCGGGGAACTCAAGAATAAATTATACATTCCTCAGAATAATAAAGCGTAGAATATCCAAAGTTAAATTTAAGAGCACTTTCCCCTTCCTCGGGTATAATCAGTTTCCACAGGAATTATTTCTAGCCATTGGCTATGAGACAAGTTGAAGTAAGATCAGAAATTTTCTAATATTTCTAAATCAGAATATTTACAAAGGTAGCAATCTTACTCATATATCATTTAAAATTCTTCTTTGTAGCCAAGATTTCTTCTTAATATCAAATTAAGAAATTTAACAGCTATGCATTCTGGGGAATCTATATTTCTCTCCACAGGGTTTCAGAGTAGTGGTAATCTTTTAGATCAAAATTTGGGTATGTGTTCAATTTAGAAGACTGTCATTAGTGATGTCAGTAGGCGTCACTAAGTCCACCAATGGCTGACTTACGTAGACAAAAAAAAGGAA